TAACCAAGTGACGCTTGAAGGGATGATGTTGGTGAAGTGTTCGGACTCTAGGTGTTCCATGTATAAGTTGGCTAGGACGGCACTGATGGGGGAAGTCACATCCAAACTGCTTAGTTTCTTGTTACGGATGGAGAGGTTACGGATACGGTTGAGAAGGTCGCCTGAGTGTTTAAGATGAGCGGGGTTGATGGTCCCCAGACTGCAAGTAAAGAGCTCTTCAGATCATTAATTCTCCACGCATCAACACCACTCCCAACAAAGTTATAATTCTTCCCAACAGCCAGGTTGCACTGAACGTCTCAAAAGTATTTTCACAAGCTAACACCAGAGTCGCCATCGCTTCTAGCACTTCAATAAAGGATCTAACTAGGACAAAATCCAAGCACCACGAACCAGTCAATGCAGGAGTTTACACTATACCCTGTGGAGGCTGTGACGAGATTTACGTAGGTGAAACAGCAAGAAACCTCGACACCCGCCTCAATGAACACATTTACGCATGTAGGAACGATAACTTGAACAACGCCTGTATACAACACCGAAATTCCACCAATCATCTCATGAAATTCAGAGACGCCCAATTAGCGATCAAAGAAACTAATTTCCGGAGACGCAAGTGCCTCGAATCAGCACTGATCGCTGTTTCGAATACAATTAAACAAAACGGCAGCTTCACCATCTCTGAAGTCTTAGCAAGAATCCTCCTGAAAACAGAAAACCCTGCCATCACATAGTCTCTCCTGTTATACTACACAAAGCACATTACAGAGAGTGAACACTGAAACAACCTGCCTCTTTCCAGTCTATATTTGTCCAACCTATTTTTATGTTACCCAAGTAATAGCTTTTATATCCTTTTACTCATGTACGAATTAATTGTTCTACCATATTGTATTACTACTAATACTTTTGTCACTAATACTACTACTACTACTACTACTACCACTAGTGAACATCGAAATGGTACCTCACTAGTATTGCACCTCACTCTGAGCCTTTATATACCCTCTGTATCTATGTATTGTTTGTAACGGCTTGATAAAGCTCCTGGTGAGCGAAACGTTGCCACAATAAGATGTCACATTAGTTGCACTTGTGTCCTTTTACTTTACATATTGTCGGTAATTCTACCAACTTTATTACAGTTGCACATGTGTCTAATTCAACAAACATTTATAAACAGGGAGGCTCCATGACCCCCCCTCCCCCGCCGTTCTCTTAGCCTGCAGTCAACACACTACATGTGTACCCTTCACTACACAGGTACCTGCACACTAGGATATTACAGGTAAACATGAGAGCACCAAAACCAATAAAATATCCTATGGCCTATTCTTACCCAAAATCACCATCCCTACTCAAACACCAAACCGTGATGTTTTATGACATCTTGCTCCAGCCACTGCGCTTCCAGTACTAAATACACCCCTCTTCTCTACTGGCCACTCTTCAGGACTAATACGCGTCCAGTTTCAAAACCTGACATTATATATGGAATGTTTTTTATACACATATTTTCTGCAATACACTGCATAATACTTGGGTAGCGTTGAAAATGGGTTGGGCAAATATTCTCGTAGATTGGATTTGTAAAGGATTGGCCCAGTATGAGCCAATTGGCCTACTGCAGTGTTCCTCGTTTCTTATGTTGTTATTTGCCCAACCTATTTTTAAGTTACACAAATAATAAATTTTTATAACCATTTTGCTCATGTGCAAGTCGACATTTTCTACCACATGTATTACTACTATTATTACTACCACAAGTAGTACAATTACTACGCCCCACTCTAAACTTTAATTTACCCTCTGTGTCCATGTATTGTTTGTAACGGCTTGACAAAGCTTCTGGAGAGTGAAACGTTGCCACAATAAAATGTCACATTAGTTGCACTTGAGTCCTTTTACTTAAAAGAATTGTTAGGCTTGCCTACACAAGTAATGCCCTTTTCTTTCATGTTAGAGATCACAGTCATGCTATTAACTGGTTCCTGCTACAACTGTCTCCCGTCCTCCTCCTGCTTCCCTCTCCACTTGTTACTCTTCACTCTATTCGAAGATCAGGACCACGTGATCACTAGCTCCGAGAGGCCTTTCGTATGTGGTGTCCTCAATGTCAGAACAAGTCAAGGTGAATTTAAGGTCCAGTCTTGCTGGTTCATCCTTTCGTCTCTCTCTGGTAGTGTGCCTAACATCTTGATGAAGATGGTTCTGGAAAATCTCATACATCATCTTGGCTCTTCACATTTCGGGTCCCTCATGTGGCTCCAGGTTTTCCCAGTCAATCTCCTTGTAACTGAAATCACCCACAACTTGTAACTTGGCCTTACCAATGTGATCCCTTCTGGCCACCTCAGCTAGTGTGTCCACCATTGTTATGTTGCTCTCATCATATTCTTTTTTTGTTCTCCTGCTGTTCTGTGGCCGGTTATACTTCACTGCAATCATCACTGTAGGAACCCTGGACCGAATTGTTCCTACTACGTAGTCTCTTTCGCCCATTCTGTCCATTCCTTCCATTTCCTCAAATCCCCACCGGGATCCTTCTCCCCCTCTGCTCCCTCTATCTTTCCTCGGGATCTGATATCAGGATGGGAAGATTGCGTCTGTTATCATAACCGTGAGTTTCGTATTTGTAAGTTCTATGATGTCTGGGAGACGTCTCCTTGATTCTTTAATGCCACTCCTTACATTTATTTGTTATTCTGTCTGTGTTGGTGTACCAAACCTTTAACTTCTTTTCTAATACTGTGGTCTGGGGGAGGGGGGGCACGTTGGGGTTGGGGGAGCAGGAGACCTGGCATGATACTGTGGGGGGTTGCTGTGAGGGTGGAGTTTGTTGTGGAGGGGTGGGGGCTGTGGATACAGAGTGTGGGTTGTTTTGGTTTAGTTTGCCTGGTTGCAGTGCTGTCATGGTTGATGGTTATTGCACCCACTGAATGGGACCAATTGCATATAACGTATGTTTATGTATATATTATCTTTCATATAATTTTATACTGATGATATTTGCATTAACAGCTGAAATGAAAATAACTTGCTTTATATTATTATTTGACTTATTATATTAGGTTATGAATGCAGGTAAGATGTAACATTTACACTTCACTGTGCTCACTGTTGGAGAGTTGTGACTGTCCGCTCTTGCAAACAGCCTTGCTAACTACCAGCTTGTTTGTTTGCCTGCCGGCGTCACTGAAGTAGCACTGGTTAGTCACGTGATCACACCTGAGATTGCAGACTGCCCCCCATTATCTCACGCTCTCTCTAGATCTACTTTTTGTCCTAAAAGCAATTCTTCTGTCTCTCGTTTCTCGTAGAGTATGATTTCGTTGGAGACCCGAAACATGCATCTTGTAACTTTGTGTAACTGGGTTCACAGAGCACATTTTAGATATAGTGATCTTTGATGTTTTGCTGAGGTTGTGTTTGGCAGAGACAGTCGATTCATCCTTGTTCCCAAACTGAAGCTTCTGACCTACTTTGTGACATCTACGCACTGCTGTAGTCGGAGATTTGGTTATCTTGAACTTTGATTCAGTAATAAGGGAGTTTTATGCCTTATACGGAGGATATGCTGATGGTCCCCAGTTAGGATCGTTTTGTCTCCTCGTCCCTGACACTGCTGCTGCTTTGTACATTATTGCTGTTTGGCGAATGGTTCGTCTTATTATTCAAGCAGGCTGTTCAATTGCTTTGATGGTTGAGAAGTCGTATTGTTTGTGGTCTAGTTGTCAATCACTGTTTAAGTATAATTCAAGTGGAGTCTTACTGAGACATAACGAGCACTCAGAGGACCTACACGCATTCTCACACACACACACTTGTATATACTAGTACTATTCTTATAGATGCTATCAATGTACCAGACGGAGAAGTGTGTACCAGACAAGAGAAGTGTAGGAGCTTATATCCTAAATTATATCGAACTTATTTTGATATTGTCCACCTAAACAACTTTGTTAAGTTCAAGGGATAACTTGACGTGATCTAATTCTGACAAACTGTACCAGATCCAGAAACAGGCTAGATGCTAGAGAGGGATCAATCTGTTGACCTAGTATTCTCTGGAGATCTCTATACTTGATGAATATCGCATGTTGTAATAATAGTCTTCTGTAGATGGTTCTGAGGGAGATTGTATTTGCTTTTTCTCCTGAGTCTGGGTTCTCCTGCCCATTTCCATCCTTGTATCTCTTTCCTCTCTACGTCTTTGTACCCTTTCAATCTTTGTTTCATTAGAAACGTCCTATGATAAAATTTGCTCGATACTTTTCAAGCATTCAGAATACAGCAAGCAGCACACAGGCTGAGGGTCCGGGTTTAAGCCAAAGGTCCTGGTTCGATTCTCGGCGGGATGGAAACACTGGACGCGTTTCCTTACACCTGTTGCCCTGTTCACCTAACAAGTAGGTACCTGAGAATTAGTCAACTGGTGTGGGTCGCATCCAGTGGAGCAAGATAGAGGACCTCAATGAAAATAAGACAGTCCCTCGATGACGCAGTGCCTTTCATAGGTTGTCCTGGGTTGCTAACCCTCCTCGGTTAAAAATTCAAACAAAATCTTATCTTATCATTAAAGCTACGACTTGTCTTCGTAGTGTTACGGAAGGTATGAGGTATCAACATTACTAGCGTTCATAACATTTTCTAGCTACTGATAAACGGAGATGTTACCTTGCTTATCAGATATTGTAGAAATTATAGTCTTAGAGGTTTAAACATGATTTTCAAGATTGCAATTTCTGGGTTACCTACAGGCTGTTCATTATACCTAAAATTGATGCTTGTTATTTGGATTCTGCTAAGAAAATAGGTACAGTAATTACTAGCCAAAAATTCGCCTGTTACTAGAATATTTCATAAAATGGAGACACTGCAATGTGAATTGAAGTGGAAGAAATGATCGAACACAAAGAGTGTTTGGCTGAGATTTCCAATAATAATTCTTTAAGTCTCAAAATGTATAATACTACCTGGGTGCCTCTTGCCTCACACAGGTGGTGCACAGCCCCGGCAGTGACCAGTGGACACTGGTGCTCACCTACGCACAGCTGCGAGACTCGGGTGTCTACGAGTGTCAGGTCAACACTGATCCCAAACTCTCCAGACCCGTCAATCTTAGCGTGTACAGTAAGTATTTCGAGTGTGTAGTGCTGAGGATTGGTAGCATAGTCAAGTATGTGCGTAACTAATTCATATTGCTAACCTTCTCTTCAGAGTTCTAGTAAAAATACATGAGCAAGTCGCCTTGCACTTGCTGGTCCAGTTAATTATACATTAAATTAAATAAGTAGCAAAGAATGTTGACTGTTATGGGTTGCGTCATAGGGAAGAGGACAGAAGAGCCCAACAAAAATAATTCACGTTACCTTCTTTAATTGTGTTATTCTGGTTTAATAACTTTTATGGGTGAATAATCGGAAGAGGGTCTTCTTTTCTAGAGAATCCAGTACTTATCTTTACTGGTCTGATGCCAGTAAAGAGCACTTGATCCAAGAAACATGAACTACCCACGACTTCCTTACATATGACTTAATTACCTTCCACCCTCCCATTCTTCTGGTGTTGTACGGTTCTTACGGGATAAACGCTTTTCCATGAATTTAATAATTAGCAAGACGTCACTGTAAAATAAGTCATTCTCAGTTACTAGTAAAAAACACCTTTGTTCTGCTAGTCTTCTAAGAGGAAGGGGTGAAGCGAGGGCAGCTGCCTTCGTTCCAGGATCAAACGTGTGTCAAGGGAAACCAACCATATTGATGTCTTGCCTGTCCCCTTGTCCTTTCTGCAATCCCTTGCCCCGAAGGAAAAGTTATAGACGACACTTATACTTTGACCTATTGTTGATCAGATTTTATCATCCACAATACATTTTTGTTTTCTTTGCTGTTTATCTAAATATTTTAACTCTCATTAATGTTAAATTGGCTTCAAAATTTCTTACAGTTTCTCTATATACTGTGGATTCAAGCTCTATACTTCACATTTATTAAGTCACGTAACACCAAGATGATCATGAGCTTCGGCTCAGCAGTAATTACTCGGTAGGCCTGTGAACCTCTTTGCAACTGATTAAATCAGCTTTTCATTCTGCTAATATTAATCCTTTCGTTTTGTTTAGAAAAATAATTTATATATCATTTATAAACTTCATTAAATTAATCATACAAGCTGCGTAAGAGTTACTTTTTATAAAATATTTTTAAATAGAGCAGCGATATCAGCGAAATATGGATTCATTAAAGCATTTTACTTAAAAAAATTCACACAAATAACTCTCCATTCTAAAACAGTGTAAATTTAGGAACAATTACTGCGAGTATTACACACCATGTGGTCGCCAGCATGTTGAACCCATTGTATGAAATTAGAAATTATAATGAATGCAAATTGGAGCCAAATTCGCAGGACTGGTGCAATATCCCTGGGAGTTAGTGGCCCCAACACCGGCTGTGTCGCTCTGTGCTGCCTAGCTTTAGTGATCTAATTTACATGTGGCTGTCAATGGCGTCAACCATTCGTGCTTAAAATAACTTTACATGTCATTAACCTAGGAATACTTCTCCAAGAATATCAGAAAATTTTAAAGAAAATGTAAGCTTTGAAGGGTCAGTGTTGTGACGTAGTCCTACGTAATTATGCAATTGCATATAATAATTTACATAATGTAATTAGCTTTAGCAGGAGAGTTATGTTACTAAATAAAAGCATCAATTTTATGAGATTTACAGTAATACAGATAAAATATATACTCATAAAATATATACAACTCCCATAAAAGATGCAAAATTTGTTTTGCAAGTTGCGTAAACTCATTTTTATATTTAAATTTACATTATGCGTTCAAACACCTGAAAATTTAGTACAAGTCTAAACAACACTACACCTCCCACCCCTCTCTCTTCACTCATTCCTTATCGCCTTCCAATTATACTACCTTCTCCACCTCCCCTTCCTGTTCTTTCTTCTACACCTCAGCTGATACGAATCTTCAAGGCCACCCTCTTCTTTCCATTCTCACCTTCAGTCTTATATCATCTTTCATGCCACTTCCACTTCCATAACCAACTCCCCTAAACTTTCTTACATCATTTATTCCTTTAATTTTTTTCTCCACCCTCCTTGCTATCTACGCATGCTCCGTTACCCATGTTCATCAACAGCGCTCGCCTTGCCATGCCTTCCTTTTCTTCACCATATTTTAAATGAAGGTAATGAAGCAGATTAAAGAAGGCTGGCAGGCTGTGACCAGGTGAAAGAAAATTGATGATGTGATTGATCAAAGGAACATTTTGCATAATATTATATTTTTGGATAAAACGCTAAGAACGTAAGGATATTTAGCACCAAACACCATCACTGACACTACTACTTTTAAACAGCGACATTACAGACATCGCTGCTCGTCAAAATTAATAACGCAGCTACTGCACCGAATACTCGTTTTAAAGAAGAGTTGCGTACCGCTACTGATTTAATTATTAAAGGATATTTTAGGAAGTCATATTAATACATCAGTTTTAATATTGCTACATGGACCACCAAGGACCATGAACAAGTCACCCAGAGAAGTGAGAAGTGACAAGGGTTGGAACTTATACGAAAGGAGTTGGGTAAAGGGGTGGAATATATTATGGTCCTCTTGGCTTCTCGTTTCCTTGTGTGACTTAAAATAACAAATAAGTCACAATACCGTGACTAGAACAATACACAGATAACCTGCATATAGGAGAGAGGAGCTTACGATGAAGTTTCGGTCCGACTTGGACCATTTACAACGACCGAAACGTCGTCGTAAGCTCCGTTCACCTATGTGCGGGTTATTTGTGTCTTGTGTACTTGTTATTAGTACAAGTCAGATCGATTGCATATATACATGTTGAACATTAAAATGGTATAAAATACCGACAGGTTGTTAGGTAAGACACATATGCAACAGTTAGGTATCTTTATTTCGAAACGTTTCGCCTACACAGTAGGCTTCTTCAGTCGAGTACAGAAAAGTTGGTAGAAGTAGAAGAGACTTGAAGACGATGTAATCAGTCCATCACCCTTAAAGTTTTGAGGTGGTCAGTCCCTCAGTCTGGAGAAGAGCATTGTTCCATAGTATGAAACAATATGGAGATGAAGTGACAGGATGGAGCCTTATATAGCGCCAAGAGGTGAGACGTAGGTCACTAGAAGAGGTAAGAACTCAGATGTTGGGATTTGAGAGGGACCTGACCTCCCAACATCTGAGTTCTTACCTCTTCTGGTGACCTACGTCTCACCTCTTGGCGCTATATAAGGCTCCATCCTGTCACTTCATCTCCATATTGTTTCATACTATGGAACAATGCTCTTCTCCAGACTGAGGGACTGACCACCTCAAAACTTTAAGGGTGATGGACTGATTACATCGTCTTCAAGTCTCTTCTACTTCTACCAACTTTTCTGTACTCGACTGAAGAAGCCTACTGTGTAGGCGAAACGTTTCGAAATAAACATACCTAACTGTTGCATATGTGTCTTACCTAACATATATACATGTCGTGCCGAATATGTAAAACTTGCGATTTTTGCTTAAATAGCAATGCCTGCCAAGTGAGTGTACAACGGAGGCCTGTACTTGTTTTACATGATGGTAGAATTGCTGGTGTCTTTTTCTATCTTATAAACATGCAAGATTTCAGTTAAGTCTACTACTACTTACACTTAGGTCACACTACACATGCATGAATAAGAAAATATATACACACCCCTCTGGGTTTTCTATTTCTTATCAGATGTACTTGTTCTTGTTTATCTCCTCTTATCTCCATGAGGAAGTGGAACAGAATTCTTCCTCCGTAAGCCATGCGTGTTGTAAGAGGCGACTAAAATGCCGGGAGCAACGGGCCAGTAACCCCTTCTTCCGTATAAATTACTAAATTTAAGAGAAACTTTTGTTTTTATTTTTGGGCCACCCTGCCTTGGTGGGATACGGCCGGTGTGTTGAAAGAAAGAATATCTATATATATAATATACATATATATAATATATATATATATATATATATATATATATATATATATATATATATATATATATATATATATATATATATATATAATATATATGTGGAGAGAATGGAGCGAAACAGAATAACTTCAAGAGTGTATCAGTCTGTAGTGGAAGGAAGGCGGGGTAGGGGTCGGCCTAGGAAAGGTTGGAGGGAGGGGGTAAAGGAGGTTTTGTGTGCGAGGGGCTTGGACTTCCAGCAGGAGTGCGTGAGCGTGTTTGATAGGAGTGAATGGAGAAGAATGGTTTTTAATACTTGACGTGCTGTTGGAGTGTGAGCAAGGTAACATTTATGAAGGGGTTCAGGGAAACCGGCAGGCCGAACTTGAGTCCTGGAGATGGGAAGTACAGTGCCTGCACTCTGAAGGAGGGGTGTTAATGTTGCAGTTTAAAAACTGTAGTGTAAAGCACCCTTCTGGCAAGACAGTGATGGAGTGAATGATGGTGAAAGTTTTTCTTTTTCGGGCCACCCTGCCTTGGTGGGAATCGGCCAGTGTGATAATAATAATATATATATATATATATATATATATATATATATATATATATATATATATATATATATATATATATACATATATATATATATAATATATATATTATCACACTGGCCGATTCCCACCAAGGCAGGGTGGCCCGAAAAAGAAAAACTTTCACCATCATTCACTCCATCACTGTCTTGCCAGAAGGGTGCTTTACACTACAGTTTTTAAACTGCAACATTAACACCCCTCCTTCAGAGTGCAGGCACTGTACTTCCCATCTCCAGGACTCAAGTTCGGCCTGCCGGTTTCCCTGAACCCCTTCATAAATGTTACCTTGCTCACACTCCAACAGCACGTCAAGTATTAAAAACCATTCTTCTCCATTCACTCCTATCAAACACGCTCACGCACTCCTGCTGGAAGTCCAAGCCCCTCGCACACAAAACCTCCTTTACCCCCTCCCTCCAACCTTTCCTAGGCCGACCCCTACCCCGCCTTCCTTCCACTACAGACTGATACACTCTTGAAGTTATTCTGTTTCGCTCCATTCTCTCCACATGTCCGAACCACCACAACAACCCTTCCTCAGCCCTCTGGACAACAGTT